TTCCCTTGCCCCATCGTCTTTTTCTTTTCTGTGTGTTCCTAGGAGGAGGAAAGTCTGTGCTTATTACTTTCTTTCCATGTTCTGGTCATTCTAAGCTTTTTTCTGATCCATCAGAGGAAGAGGGAAAGCTGGTTACCCACTTGCAAACAAAAATCTACAGCTTTATTGGGTATAATTGATATATGATAAAGTACACATAGTTGAAGTGTATAATTTCATGTTTTATTGAGGAGGAAACTGGTCTTGCAAGGTGTGTCAGGCCATAAAAACTGAACAATGCACTGCCCTGGGGGGCGGGGGGAGGTCATTATCGCTGGCCCCAGGACAGATCAGCAGATATGGCCTGGGGACCCCCAACACCTGGGGCCTTCCTGTAAGCCCACAAGGGGGCGGAACCATATCTGCAAGACAAAGACCCCAGCGGGATATATACAGACAGGCTCTCTGCGTGTTACTTCACTCTGATTTGGAAATTATTCCCGGGAGTCCACTAGTGCTAATAAACGGGGTCCCTCCCTTTCTCTAGGAAGCGTGCTTGGTATTTCTTTGGTCTTTTGCAACATTATGACATATGTACACCCCTGAAATTGTTACTACACTCAAGATAATGAACATGTTACTCCCAAATGTTTGTTTCCTCATGCCCCACCCCCTGTTTTTCTTTTCTTTCTTTTCTTTTTTTTTTTTTTTTTGTAAAATATCTTTTTGTATTGTGGGCATTCCCCCCCACACACACCCTTTTTTAAAAAATCTTTATTGTTGAAAGTATTACATATGAGCCTGTTCCCATCCTCCCCCCACCCCTTTTTAAAAAATTATTTTATTGATTTCAGAGAGGAAGGGAGAGGGACAGAGAGATAGAAACATCAATGATGAGGGAGAATCACTGATTGGCTGCCTCCTGCTCACCCCTCACTGGGGATCGAGCCCACAACTTGGGCATGTGCCCTGACCGGGAATTGAATCATGACCTCCTGGTTCATAGGTTGCTGCTCAACCACTGAGCCACGCTGGCCATTCCTCCTTCCCACCCTCCCTCTACCCCTTCCCAGGCAACCATTGATCTCTGTTCTGTCACTTTATATTAGTTTGCACTTTCTATCATTTTATATAAATGGAAGCATACCGTAAGTACTCCTTTTTGTTGTTGTTTGGCTTCTTTCACTTGCGTTATTATTTTGAAATTCATCATGTTGTGTGGACCCGTAGTTTATTTCATCTTATTGCTTAGTGGTATTCTGTTGTATGGGTTTACCACAATCGGTGTATCCATTCACTTACTGAGGGACATTTGGCTTGCTTCCAGTTTTTGATTATTTCAAACAAGACAACTATGGACATTGGTATGCAAGTCTTTGCACAGAAACATGTTATCGTTTCACTTGGGTCAATATTCGGGAGTGGAATGTTTCAACTATATGGTGAGTGTTTACTTAGCTTTTAAAAAGACTGCCCAATTGCTTTTACAAAGTGGTCATATAGGGTGTCCCAAAATTCACGCAAGAAGTAATTTTGATAGAAAACACAGGTTTATAATTAAAAGTTGTAATTTTTTATTGATTCATAAAGTATACAGTATAGGGTTATGTATGGACTAGCACATCAGGTAAATGGCCTCCACGGCTTTGCTGGCACATACACAAAGCCGTGGTCTTCGTTGTCCCTACTCCTGGGCCATAATTGGTGCTTGGTAATGCTTATCAAATTGAAGGGATTGAAATCAAAGGGCAACAGATATTAGAATCTGATTCAATAAATCAAGTAAAATTAGGCTTTTATTTTTTGTTGTTGTTGTTAATGCTCAGGCAAAATTCAAATCTTGCGTGAAGTTTGGGACACCCTATACTATTTCACATCCCCACCAGCAGAGTCTGAGAGCCACACGCCTTGCCAACAGTTGACCTGGTCAAATCTTTTACATTGTAACCATTCTAACGGGTGTGGTATTTTCTCTTTGTGGTTTTATTTTGATTTGCATTTCCCTGGTGAAAAAGATGTGGAGCATCTTTTCAAGTGCTTATTTTGAATGACTCCCTTCCCCTCACCCCCCCCCTTTTTTTTTTTTAATCCGCAGCCAAGGATATGTTCCCATTGATTTTTAGAGAGAGTGGAGGGGAGGGGAAGAGAGAGAGAGAAAAATCCATGTGCAAGAGTCACATCAATAGGTCATCTCCTGCACTGCGCTGACCAGCCAGGCCGGGGATTGAGCCTGAAACCCAGCTACGTGCTCTTGACCAGAATCCAACCCGGGACTCTCAGCCCGCAGGCTGACCTACCCCTTTTCAAGTCCTGCATTGGTAAGAGGGATAACCCTAAATTTGGGCAAAGGAAGCAGGGTTACCTGACAGGGGTCATTAAACCATTGCTTTCACCAGTTGGCTATACAATTCTTAATTTACTAGCGATTCCCAAATCGGAGGGGTAAAGCGACTCTGGTGAGTTAAGAGAACCAATATAAGGAGCAGTTTCTTAAAAAGATGCTTTGAGTGAAAATGCCTGTTATCTGAATGGGAAGGGAGAGCCCTAGATATTTTTCTTCCCATTTCCTCCCATTAGAACAGATTACTTTCTATCTAGATTAACCGAAGGTCATTTCAGAAATGAGACTGTGCTTTGATGGAATGGCCGAGTGGCTGTGGTCCTTAGAGCAGGTGGAGAGGAGGAGCTGGGGATGGAGAATTGCAAAAGAAATCTGGAATGGCAGACCCGATAGCCACCCTGCCTGGTAGGCACTGGCCAGTGTGTAGATGTGTTCTGGGGAGAATGGGCAGGTGGGTGAGGCTGAGAGAAGAGGGGCGACATAGTGTCAACACCTGAGTAGGTGAGGGACAGGCCCAGGAGAAGAGGGGGACGTACTGAATATAAAAGTTACCTCCTAAGTCGTTTTGTTCAGAGCAGCTTTAGACCTGAACGAGAATAGCTTTTATTCTCTAGTCTTCTCTTCTACAAACTAGATTCCTTCAACTTCAGGCTCCCCCGGCCCCCGCTCTCCTTTGGGGTTTCATGTGACAGAAGAAGAGGTCGCTTCTGTGGTGGCAGCCCTGCCACAGCTCCCCTTTCTGCCCAGCTTCCCAACCAAGTGGCTCTCGGATTCCTCTTCAATACAGTCTAGTGCAGTGGTTCTCAACCTTCTGGCCCTTTAAATACAGTTCCTCATGTTGTGACCCAACCATAAAATTATTTTCGTTGCTACTTCATAACTGTAATGTTGCTACTGTTATGAATCGTAATGTAAATATCTGATATGCAGGATGGTCTTAGGCGACCCCTGTGAAAGGGTCGTTCGACCGCCAAAGGGGTCGCGACCCACAGGTTGAGAACTGCTGGTCTAGTTACTAGTTAAGGCTGTAGAGCTGAACTGCCTGGGTTCTGTTTCTGGCTCTGCCATTTATTAGCTGCATGACTGTGGGCGAGTTGCTAAATCTTCCTGTACCTCAGGTCCCTTATGTAAAAATAGAGATGAAAATATTACCTTCCTTAGAGAGCTGTGAGGATTAAATGAACTAATAATTTAAAAGTGTATAGAACAGCCCTGGCTGCTAAATGGTTAGTATCAGCCCAGGCACTGAAGGGTGGCGGGTCCGATTTCCGGTTGGGTATGTGCAGGAGGCAACCAATTGATGTGTCTCTTCTCTCTCTCTCTCCTTCCTTCCTCCCCTTTCACCCTCTCTGAAAAGCAGTGGGAAAATATCCTCAGGTGAGGATTCACAACACAACAACCTGAGTTCAGAGCCTTGCCTGACAGGCTTTAAGCCCCCCATCAATGAATTTATTTGAATTTAACTCCTTGGCTCCGCTCTCAAGGCGCTTCACAATCTGTCCTCTGCCCACCGTACCCTGGTATTCCTCTACTTCCTGCCCAGGTCGCTGGTTGCTTCACTGAATCATGAATCTATGCTTCACTCAGGTTGCCATTGTCTGGAAGGTCCTTACCAATGCAAGTCCTACCCGACCTTCAGAGGTCTCTTCCAATCCCATCTCCTCTATACCTATTATTATTATTATTATTATTATTATTATCATTATTGAGTCTCTCCAGCCCTCTTCCCGGCAGAACGCCCAGTGCTGTAGAATGCAGTGAGTAGCCTGTGACCTTCCCGAGGGCAGAAGCCGTGTCTGATGCTCCTGCGCCCTCTGTGAGCACCTGGTCTTTACTCACTGGAGCATCGGTGAAGAGATTCCGCGCAGGCAGCGAGGCCGAGTGACCACCCACAGCTTTAACAGCGGCTTAGCTGGGGGCGGGGTGATGGCTTCTTTCCTGCCTGTGCCATTCTCCGAGGGCAGAGGTTCCTTTCAACTAAGATCCAGACACCGCCCCCCTCCCCGCGCCCTTCACGTCTGAACCCAGAAAGCCAAACACATCACCCTCCTATGTTCATCAGATAAATTCCTTTCCCGAACCATTTCCCCCCAGAGGAAACCATTGTGTTTTTATGGGTAACGATCAAATTTTCCTCTTTCAGTTCTTTCCTGTTAATAGTCTCAACCTTTCCGTTTTCTAGGGATCCTCAGGGCCACTCTAACCTCTAAGCTGGTGGGTAGGTAGGGGTGAGCTCAGGAGCAGATGGACTGGGGCAGCTCACCGACTGGAAAGGGGACCAGGAAACTGGTGGTGCAGAGTCCCTAAGGGCGTCTGGGATGCAGAACCCCCCAGAATCCTTATTCTACGATCATTTCCACACCGCTGGCTGCAGCCTTGTCTAGCTCTGGATAAATGTCATTGTTTCACGTGTCTCCCAGTCCCCACTGATTCCTTCAGTGAAGGAAGGGAGAGAGAGATAGAAACATCAATGATGAGAGAGAATCATTGATGGGCTGCCTGCTGGGGATCGAGCCCGCAACCTGGGCATGTGCTCTTGACGTGAATCGAACCCTGGACCCTTCAGTCCGCAGGCGGATGCTCTATCCACTGAGCCAGACCGGCCAGGGCCCTTCAGCGATTCTTTCTGCTCGTCCCTGCCAATCTCTATCCCCCAGTCATGTCCAGCCCAACCCAGGGCTCAGGGCCTAGTTACTGAAGGCAAAGCCGGGAAGAGGTGCAGCTTCTCGAGGTCCGGCAGGAAAGCGCGGGCGTCCTCCAGCGCAGCCCGCGCGGCCACGGTGAAGTTGGGGTCCCCAGAGATGAGAACGTCGAAGACGCAGGAATGGAAGTAGGCGTCTTCCACCG